TGTGTGAGAGGACTCACCAAGCACTCACGTGCCCACCCCTTTTGGGAGACAAACCCAAAATAATACTGTCTTGCACTGTATAGAAATATCTGTACAGCGCAAGCTCATAACATTCACCCTCTTCCTCACTGTGTATAAACTGGGTTTCATTATAAACAAGAAATAAGTTCGTTAACTACAAAAGGTGAATTTTAAGTGGTTCAAGGGATAGCAAACAGAAAAAGCAGATTACCTTAGTAAATAAACAAAAGCCGCAGACTGAGCTTAACATACTAGAAAGGTACAATACAAATTAACCAATTCTCACTCTGAGTGATAAACAGGCTGGCAGATTCTTAAGGCACAAGTTGCTTTGGCTCTCCCAGGTTTTCTTACACAGGCTAAAGATTTTAGTCTGGGACCATCACTTCTCACAGTTCAGTCTTTTTTCCTCAGGGGTCTTCAGGTGTGTTGTTGTAGGGAGAGTGAGGACCCCCCCTGTTATCATTGTCCCTCTTTTATATCTTCCCCCCACTTGCTGGACAGGTTTTCGTGGTGACGTGGGTCAAACAGTTCCCACTGTGTCACGCTATCGCTGAGAGGTCTCTATTGCACACAGTTCCTGGGGTGATCCTTATGCTTGTGAGCATTTCTCCAGCAAGCCACTAACATTGTTTGGCCTCATCCAACGTAGCACATTCGAAATACAGAGGCATGGTCAATATTCCCAGCTTCAGATACAAAAATGATACATGCGTACAATTTGGAGAAACACATTCAGTAAATTATAACCTTTCCAGTGATATCCTGCAAGACTCATCTTGCATAAAGTACATCTCAGTTATGTCCTATTCATATCATAAGCATGTTTTCATAAAGATATGGAGTGAAACATCACAGCTGGCACACACAGACCCTCCTCCCATCCATGACTCATGGGGATTCCCTTGAGATTCCAGAGACACAGGGACCAGAAAGTGCCCACGGCTGGATTGTGGGTGAGATAAGTGGCAGGTTTTCTCTGCATGCAGAGATCTGTTTGGATCTGCAGGGAAACACAGCCCAGGCAGAGCCTGCAGCAGCCAGTAACCTGTGGGGAAGATGAAATACAATGAAGTCACTTACATTTATATTTTTTTTATGCATTCTTACTATAAATAAGAAACGTCTGAGCGGTCACAGCTGGCTTGGATGGGCTGTGTTATGTATGCATGCACCTGCAGCTGGTGGGAGATCTTAGATGAGCACAGGGATGGAAATGGGAGACCTCAAAGAAAACCCCAGGGAAGCTGTGGGGAGTGGTGGTGTGCTTCAGCAGAGAATGCTCTTTCCTCAGTCAGCACTGAGCTGAGGCCCCAGCGTGGGGTCAGGCAGTGGGATTTTTGGGAGGTGAGATTAATAACCCCCAACATGGGGTCAGGCCTGTAGTTTTTCAAGATGCCAAGCTGCATTCATAAAGAGTTGAGGTGCTGCTTCTAGAGGGCTGGGCATATATACCTGTAATTATAGAGCCCTCTCCAAAGTCAATGGGAATCATTCCATTGATTTCAATCGACTTAGGATCAGGCCCATGTTGCCTACATAAATTCCTTAGGAGGGAGCCGTCTCCACCTCCTAGTTTAAGCTGCTGTGTTGTGGTGCCCTGCACCAGCACATTGGAACTACGCAGTCTTGTCTTTGCTTCTACAAATGCCATATTTTGCCTTTTTAGTCCAAACTCAGGACACTTTTCTGTAACAATTGGGTTTATGGCAGTGTCACCAGCCTCAGATGCTCAGAAATCATGAGCTCAATTTAAAAAATAATACAGCTGGGGGTTTTCTCAATTTGTCTTCTGGGTCTTAAGCTTTCAGGGACCCTGAGTAGGAAAGAAGCCATACTTTTTCTCATCATATATGTTATCACAGGTTTCCATGAACCTTTTTGCCTTATGACCTGCCCCTACGTCTGTTTTGGACACACACATTTTTGGTGACAGTCTTTTTGAAAAAAATTTCCTTATTTTAAAAATTGTATTTAATTTACCGTTATTGGGTGCCTTAGAACTAAATGAATAAATATAGCTTTCTTGACTTTCCCCCCTTTTTACAGGAAAACACATGCTTTTGCATTTAATGCAATTCTAAATAAAGTCTAGTAAACAGGTGTTAACAGGCATTTTTTCCTCAGATAATTTGAACACAGTTAGTACATTTCTAAATAAAGTCACTAAATTTAAAAAATCTGTGTTTTATTTTATATATAAATTACCAGGCATTTTTAGAAAAATATTTTATAATCCATTTTATATAAAGCCTCGAGGTTAGAGGAATAAAGAAGTGTTAATGAATATATAGAATATGCATTTTTAGAGAAAATATGGTCTCATGCATTTACGGTATATTTAAATGTCATTAAATAATTTACAAAATCTTAGTAACAATGGAATAAAGTGGCGTGTTAACATGCATTTTTAGAGAGCATGAATTCTAATGCACTTAATCAACTTCTTTGGAATTGTACTATTGCACCAGGGTCTGATAGAGAGAGAAATTATAACAGAGCTAGTTACATACTACAGGGGGCAGATCTCTTTTGGAGATGACCAAGAATGTTCTTTAAAACAGCAAGAAAGGAAAAAAGCCAGGGAGAAGTGAGCGGTGTATCACGCCTGGGACCTAAAGAACTCCTCAATGCCTACAGTGACCAAGAACAGGAAATCGCTCTGTTTTTCATTTCCATAATGAAAACTATAGAACCACAGGGATAGAAGGGGCCGCAAGGGTCATCTAGTCTAACCCCCTGCCAGGGCCGGCTCCAGGGTTTTGGCCGCCCCAAGC